AAGTGTCTTGTCGAAGAAACCCCCTTCTTGGCGAGAAACCCCCAAGCCACAATACAACACTCCACCAATTAACGCCTTCCACGAGCTAGATACCACGACCTGCTTACCCATACCTATAAAAATATCAACCAACAGTAATCACAATTCACACAACATTCAGCCTTGATAATGGATGCAGAACGCATTCGAAACGCGTCGGCCAACTCATCACTATCTACAACTTTTACCCGTTGTTCTAACAACGTTAAGATGGCTTATCGACTTCTTGAGAAGAATTCTAAGAAGAAAGTAAACCTACAGACATCGGTCTTGATTAACAAAATCTGCCTACAAGAAAATCTGTCACCAAAGTACACCAATATATATATTGTAGTCAACATTTATTTTCAGACTAACTCAGGATTTTTGTTTTGTGTTTGCAAAGTGAAATGAATTAACCATGTAAGTTTGTACTAGATCTGTACCCAGAGTATTTAGAATAAAAGTTTGGAAACTGAATTTTTTTTTTTAAATCAAGAATTTGTAGGTATTTTAGCAATTTAAAATATTTCATATTGGGTATTCAGGCTTGAAAAATACTTTTTATACTTTACCACAATCACATTCCTTATTTGTTTTAAACCTTAAAATCATGAGTTGATCATACTTTGAACAATGAAAAATCAAAAAATTCAATGAAACTCCAAAAATGATGTTTAGGTGTTGATGAAAGGTCTTCTCAAAGCAAGGCTACTTTTTGCTCAGCTTCATTCCATTACGAGTGTGATTTGCACCACAAGAATAATTTTCAACATGTTCATTACAGTGTTAACATTTTCATTACCTGAAAATGTATTTCTGATAGATACTTGCATCCCCACAAAACTGAGAACTATTACCTCGCACCACTATTGATAGCTTTTATGTATGTGCCAAGCCTTTGAACGAAACTCCCACCACTATACATAACTTATACTGCATCAGTCCAGGATGCGAGTAGCATTAGACTACAAGCCTCCATCAATAGGGAAGAATGCTCCATGTGTAGTACTCCTCTTGAGCACATTTGGTATACCAAATGCTCATTCTTGATTACAGAGCTGGAAAATTTTATCAATTACCTATAAATAGCAATTGCATTGATTAGTGTCTCATAAATTAATTGATTAATGTCATGAAAATAATCAACTAATCGAAATTAGTGTTTCCGATTATTACTGTTTTTGATTATTTTAACACTTGATTAATCGAAATTACAGTTAAATTGATTGTTATGAAAATAACCAACTAATCAAAATTGAGGTTTCTGATTATCTAATATTTTGGATTAATTCAATTATCCAAGTAAATGGAAATATTGTCATTATGTTTGTTTGTTGAGAACAAATTAACAAAAACACAAGATGATGTAAATAACACTCTGTATGAAGAATTCAGTCCAGGTGTGACATACAATCTGCCACCAAATTAAAAACTACCGGAACAAGAAATGTTAACAACCAGATTTTGTTATTTTGAATCCAAAAGTGGAGCTCAAAAACAAGAATCAGAAATTCCCAAAGTGAGTACCTCCTTTTCAGTGAATATAAGAAACAACAGTGGAGTTGTTGAATTAGATCAAATCAGAATGTCCTGATTTGTAACTAAAAAGATATGTACATAGAACTGCCCACATCTCAAGGATATTGATGTAAAAAAAAATTGTTCTGCAGAAAAACAAACACCTAAAAGGTGAAGGTTTCCAGAACCGTATCACACACAAGTGAGGAAAAGGGATGAGTTTAGATTCATAAAACAAGCTTATCCAAAATACAGCAGAAAACAACTGGAGTAAATGAATAAATATCATATACTTGAATAATCAGAGTTGCAAGGAACAAACGTGGGTGTTAACCCGATCCTAGTCAGAGATAGAAGAACCAGAAGCAAAGGTACATTGTGGGAGAAACTGGTCAAAGGTATTTAAGACAAGAGAAGCTCAACAGAAGGTCATCAATCCTGTGTTTGAGATGAATTAACAACATGATGACATGATATGCAATGGTGGTAACACTATTAACCATCTGACTGATTCCAGTCACCAGCAGAAGAAAATAAGATAACTCCTATAAAGAAAAGTCTGGACCTCGAGCAGTTTTAGAATTGCAGATAGGAGAAATTGTATGCAATAATATTCACAAAAGTGGGTAAGTGTATAATGTTTTTTAATAGTTCTGATATGTCCACAGTACATAAGCCTAAGTAATTTTGTACTGACAAAACATGTGAACAAGTAATAAAACCCAAACACTTCATTAATAACAATGAGGAATAGTTCTGTAAAAATAATAATATCAAAGACTCAGGAACACATCTTAAAATACTGTAATTTAAGAGAAGAAACCAAATTAATGTAAAGAAAGATAATACACTGTATTTCATATGAAAAGCTCTAGCTTAAAGTTTGAAAATCTTGAAAATCAAGAACAATGATGCTTAAAATTTAACAACAATTTTAAAATAATAAGCATAAAAATTACTAAATTCATTATAAAAACAAAACATGCTGAAATAATTAGCAGTGCCAAGGAAAGAAGGAGCCACTGGTACAACAATGTTCTCAAGGGGAGTACTGTACATGGAAGATATGTCACCCATCTATTGGGGAAGAACTATAACTGGCACAGTACACATTATTATGTTTAGGGGTGAGGATTGTGTTCAAAAGGCTTGGCACATGTGCAAAAACATTTTCAGTAATAGTACAAGGTAATAGTTCTCAGTTTTGTGGAGAGAAGTAGAGTTTCTGAATAGGAAATTCTGCACACTTACTAGACAACAATAAAAAAAATGTTCTTAAACTATTTCTTATTATTTTCATTGGTTGAGGCCTGTCAATCATGAATGATCTAAGCCAATGAAAATGGTTAAAATAAGAACAAAGGATACTTTTCATACTATTCTTTCTGATTCACAGTTTTTCTTGAATTCTTTTCATTGGATTCTAACATTTGTAAGGACCTTTCTTGCAACTGAGTCTAAGGTAAATATGGCTTTTTGATATTCTCACAATTTATGTTGACAATTTTGGCACTGAAAACAGATCTTTGTTTGTAATTAAGCACAAAGCTACACAATGGGCTAA